TTCGAACCATATAGTTGTAGCTTGAAACAGATTTGTAGAAATCGCCATTCATGTGAAAGCTAATTCTGATCAGATATGCACAAAAATCAGGTATCTCTTCAGGAGCTGGGTTGGCTTCCCCTGATTTAAAGTGTGGGTAATCCTGAATAATAACACTCCTGTCTTTTCCTTTATTAGGCTATGCTTTTGTACACATGGAGAACAAGGAAGATGCGCTGCAGGCTATTGAGGCTTTGCACGGGACCTCTTTCAAAGGACGACCACTATCCGTGGAGCTGTCCAAAGTTCAGCCAAGCAAACAGGCACCAACTGGGAAAATCCCATGTGTGAGCTGCGGAAAACAGGGTCACTATGCAGGTGAATGCCCCGCTGGAAAGCCCACCCTGGAGCAGTACCAGAGCCAAGCGGCCGTGTTAGCAGCCGCCGCTGCCGCCGCCGCCGGCCTCCCGCTACAGGTTCAGCAGAGCGTACACAATTCGGTATACAACACCTCAACTTTTGACCCCACCTATGCTGCTTTGACTGGACTTACAGCTGCTGGTGCAAGAGCCGAAGGTGGAACCGCGGTGGCACCAGCCGTCTACGGAGCGCTAGCTAGTCAAGTGTACGGTACAGTGGCCAATCAGCTCTATGGTGGGACAGTTGCAAATCAGGCACTCAACAACAGTGCTGCCGCTGCTGCCGCACAGATGTATGGCTCCGTTAACCCAGCTTTCTATGGGCAGATGACGAGTGGCGCAGTGGCAGCCGCCGCAGCAGCCGCCGCCGCATACGGTCAACAGGTTTACACGCCCGCCATGGCAAATCAAGTGTTTCTAACCGCAGCACCGAGCATGGAGGTACCAGGAGGTAACCCAGCTTATACGGTAGCACCGGCTCTCTACAGCACGTCCCCGGCTTACGGGGCTCTTGGGGCAGCTGACACAGCAGCTTTCTTCGAGGCAGCAAGGGCACACTACTTTGCACAAGGACAGCAAGTGCTAGCTGAACAGCAACAGGCTAGCTCAAAGTCTGGCGAGAGGGACCGGAGTCCACTAAGAAGATCTGCCCCACTTCTGCCTGACCCTGTTATGAAACCATTTATGTACCAGAGGGCCAAGCGCCGAGCCTTGTTGCCCACACCTGCAGGTCGAGAGGAAGCCGCCGCACAGGAGGACGACCCTATAGCCAGGTGAGCTGATTTCAATTAAAGATTTCAATAAGCCGCGTTTCCACCGAATTTATCTGGAAAAATTATCTGGAAAAATTTGTAGAGCCCGACAGATAAAGGATTTTGAAGGCTGATACCGATACAAATATTTTTGGGTTTTAAAATCCGATATATCAGCCGATATTTTATTTTATTTTTTAAAAGATTGTTGTATTTCACACACGTGTAAAAGAAAAGCTAACTTTTCTGCACAAGATACAATTGATACTTTTTCTCTATGTCTAAATGTTCACTCCTCGCAAGTATAACTTACATTTTACAATGCAGGCATTTTAACTAGAGATATGCTAGTTATAAATACAGTAATCATTACTTTATTTAGGCAGAGAAAGTTCATTGTGGTTTCCAAACTCATTAATGTTAACGTTAGCGGTCTTCCACTGATAATAGCGGCATTAGCTAGCTTTGTGGTTAGCTAGTCTATGATGAGCCATAATTTAGCAATAGATGACATCATACTGCAAATTGTAAAACATACATTTTCAATATAACAGGCCAAGGAGAGATGATTGAAGCGTGTTTCGTCCATTTTTATTTTATTTTTTTAAATATTCATTTATCTGCCATTATAACTGCCGATACTGATATTATGGAAAATGCCTAATATCGGCTGGCCGATATATCGGTCTGGCTCTACTGCACGGTACTTTGCAGTTCCCGCTCTGATTTAAAGCTCAATAAAGCCCGAACTTAGTAAAGTCATTGGTCGTGTTTTTTAAACTCCATTGTTCATTCGAGTAGCAAACAACTATTCCTGCACGCACCGCAACAGATAAAAGTGGTACACCAATCCAAATGCGTCATGTTCAGTGCTCAAGTCCCACCCCTGAAGGTTCCTGAACTTTGAAAAAGTTTTACTTCGCAAGCAGGGAATTTCAGAGCGTGAAAGTCTTCTTTTAGACCCTTGTTCCTGCGGTGGAAACGCACAGAGGACAAGTCCCTAATTCTTGGGGAAAGTTCCTGCGGTGGAAACGCGGCTATAATAAACGATTACATCAAAAGTTGTAAATGTTGGCTGTTTTAGTTCCGATTTACAGTGGCGGTGATGTGTGTGTGTGTGTGTGTGTTTCTGTGTCTGTCCCTGTCAAATGGTGTATACATTTGTTTGTATATGCATGATTTCTGTCTCTCTTTTCCTGTCTGTGTGGATGTGCATGTGTGTTTTCTCTCCATTTCTCACAGATATTACGCGGAATACTACCAGCAGTACCAGCAGCTGCAGCAATACCAACAATACCAACAATACCAGTACGCGTACCCACCTCCCAACCACCTTGCAGCAATGTCCGCACTGCAGGCGTTGCCCGGTGTCCCGACTCAGCAGGTGGCAACGCTCGAGTCCCTCAGGCCAGTCCTGCCCGCCGCCTCCGTGCCTGCCATCGCAATGGCAACACCTCGCGTGTATGAGCCACCGCCGATACCGCCGTCGCACAAGGAGCCCCTCCTCCGCCGCCCCGAACTCGCCCTACACACCCCTGAAACACCCTTCCGATAGTGTGCTCCACGTCCTCTCTGCCTCTCCTTTCCTTGTGCTGCGTGTGTGTGTGTGTCAGAAAGAAGCCACAGGTGTATGTTTGACGTGTGTGCTTGGGTTTAAGACGGTGGCTGTGTCAGTTTTAACTATAGACTGGAGTCTCTAACCTTGGTTCTGATCTCTCACACACACCCAGTGTAGTCAGGGCTTGAAAAGGGAACCCGCATGCTCTCATTCCTGCACACTAAACCAATATAACACATTGTCTGTTCAAAGAAACCTTCAATCTAATAGCCAGTTAGTTTGGAGGGGTAGATTAGGCACTAGCCATGATGCTTTTTAACTTTTATATTAAGTGTTTGTAGCCTATGAATGAATACTGGACTTGATATTTTTAAATATTGCTTGATTTACGATAGTTATACGAACCAGTTTACACACTCGTTTAGTTAAGACGTTAGATTGCAAGAACATTTAAATAAGTTGAATGTATGTTTACTCCAAAGGTGTGTGAAGTGTTGGACCAGGGTTGGAAAAGTATTTCACATGTCTTTGTGTGTTTCTTGTTTTTCTCTGGGACTGGTGTAGCGTGTATGCTTTCCATTGGTTGACACGACAGGAAGGCACATGTGAACAGGGAAGCGACCTCGATCCACACGCACATACATACGCATCCCTTACACCTCTGATGGGAGAATTTAGTGACGACCTTTAACCCCACCCTTCCATCCCTGTCCACCCATCCTGAAAGCTGAAAGACACTGTGACTTCTCTCCCCTCCAACTTTGATGTAGCTACTTCCGTAGAATATGGTGGTGTATGGGCAGCCAATCAGAGGAAGGATTAGCTAGTCAGAGCATCTCCATGCTCGACAACTTAACTGCCAAGATGCATTGTAGAATCTGTTTTTGTAAGTGTCTTTTATTATTGCTATCATGTTTTTATAAACAGTGACAAGGGACTCGCGTATCATTTTAAAGAGAAATACTCTGCTTAATTTTTAACTTTTGTTTACAGCTATAAGAGAGACGAAATGTTCTTTCTTGTGGCTTTTTTCCACAATGATTGTTTATAGCCAAAATTCTCTTTTTTTCTAGAAAAAACGCCAAAATCATGAGTGGCCTACGATTCATATGCCTTAGTAGTGAAATGTATTCAAGTTTGCTATTTTTTTATCTGTAGTCTTAAAATGTGAAACTGGATTAAGGCTACACGAAAGTGCTGTATTTTCTGTGGTGCTGTGATTTGGGATTAAATGAAATTGGGAGATTCCTATCAGTTTCTTTCAGTCTTCCTGCTCATTTCGCTGCTGCAACTCTATAGATGACCCTCACTGCATCTCTCCCCATCTCTCTTTGCATCTGCCTCTCATTTAGTGACAGTATTTCATTTGTTTACCGTACCCCTTGAGGATGCCAGTGTGTGTGTGTGAATGTGATCTTAGAAAACGTTTTGCATTGACATTCATGTTTGTAGTTTACGGTAACTGTTTTTGCCGCAAGTGTTCTCAGAAGAGAAGACTTAAAGATCTGTACGGGATCTTTACTGACTATAACACGCCTTCAAAAAAAATAAAGAGCCTGCCTGATCATTTACCGAGGAAACTCGAGAGCTTTTGCTTGGAGCTTTAGCTGTTCTTGCCTTTTGATGTTTCATGATTGTTTTTCCTTTGTGAAACGACCAGACTCGTATGAATCGGAGCCCCGAAAAGAAGCTAAAGGACTAGAGACTGATCCCAATCTCACCCCTGTCACTATGGATGGGGTAAGTCTGGGGGCAACCCCACTCTATACCCCCCCACCCCCAGCTGCACACACCATCCCAAACCCCTTCCCCAGGAGCAGCAAAATCTTCAGCCCAGCTTTTGGTACTTTTTAACCACCCATAGTCCCATGCAGCTTCTTTAACAGGAGTGTGGCACGATGATGACTGTGCTTTCATGACGCCAAGCATACTGTAAAACATGCTCATGTGCGAGTGTCAGGAGGCACCCACACTTTAAAACCATTTTACAATTCCTTTTCTGGTATTTGTACGTAATTCAAGATAAGGCTTCGCTCGCATCTGCTTCCATTGTGCATGTTTCTTTTTTGATTTCTTGTTTCAACCCCCCTCAAAAAAACAAACGCTTTCTGATGTGACTGTTCCAACTTAACTAGGTCCCTAAGGAACTGTGGACACCAAACGCAGTGCTGGTTTGGGGGGAAGAAAGTTAGCGTCGCGCAATGAACGAGAAGGTCTCTCTGACTCCATTCAGGTAAACGCACTGCGCCTCGCCCCCTTTCTACCTGTCGTCCTCCCCGATAGCGTTTGCGCCTGACCGTGTATCCGCTGTATTTCTCCTCACCACCACCCCACCCCTCTTGTAGATTCCTCACCTCTCGTCTCCATTGCTATAGCCAATGGGTTTCTCTAAACACCAGTGTTATACTACTATCTGTCACTGGCAAAAGAGGTGGCGGCGGGGGTGACTATTTGCTGCTTCGGTGGTTAGTGTGTCGGTAATGGCTTGGTGCTCTAACAATTGATCTGTTGGTTGTAGCTTCGGAGAGAATGGGAATAAAAGCAGTTGAATGAATGGAATTATTCGTCAGTGCATTAAAGGCTGCTTTAAATTAGTGTGGCTTAAAGGGTTAGTTCACCCAAAAATGAAAATTCTGTCAGTATTTACTCACCCTCGTGTTGTTCCAACCCCGTAAGACCGCCGTTTATCTTCGCAACACAAATTAAGATATTTAAGATATTAAGATCGCTCCTGCATACTAGTCCATAGGCTTCTTGAGGGAATGACTCTTGCTGGCATCGAAAAGCCATTAAAGACATCGTTAAAATAGTCCAAGTGACTACAGGGGCTCAATTTTAACTTTATCAAACGACGAGAACACTTTTTGTGCGCAAAAACAAACAAAAATAACAACTTTATTTCAACTATTCACTTCCTTCTCCATGGGCCTGTAGTCAGTTAACGTAGTGTGATTGCGTAAAGCTACGTCACACGTAGGCTCACTATTGGCCGACGCTGGTCATGTGTGTGATGCGTGTGACGTACAATAACAGAAGCTTACGCTATTAAACTAGTAACCTGACTCGCGCAGAGGGAGAAATAAACGAATAGTTGAAATAAAGTCGTTATTTTTTTCGTTTTTTTTTGCGCACAGAAGTGTTCTCGTCGTTTGATAAACTTAAGATTGAGCCCCTGTAGTCACTTGGACTATTTTAACGATGTCTTTAATGACTTTTCGATGCCAGCAAGAGTCATTCCCTCAAGAAGCCTATGGACTAGTATGCAGGAGCGATCTTAATATCTTAAATATCTTAATTTGTGTTGCGAAGATAAACGGCGGTCTTACGGGGTTGGAACAACACGAGGGTGAGTAAATACTGACAGAATTTTCATTTTTGGGTGAACTAACCCTTTAAGTAAGGTTGGCTGATAAAGGTGTGTGATAAAGGTGAATGGCTGTGAGTCATTAAAGGCTTGGCCGATGTGGACCTTGCTCAAGGGTTCCTCCAATATCGTCGACCTCACCATGTGCCTTTTTAAATTTGTTTATTTGATTTAACCCCTGCCCCCCCAGGCTTCCTCCAGTCGTCTCGCCGTTGACGCCCAGCTCACCGCCGCCCTCGCCGCAACCCCAGTGCTAATTGTTACGTTTGTTCGGTGTTAACCACTGCTTGAACGCATCCCCGAAAGCTCTCTGACTAGACACAAAGCACTGGCCAAGATTTTATTCGCAAGACTCTCATTTGGACTCAGTGACACTGGCAACCCTTATCTTCGAGGGCTGTGCTTGACTTTGATAAATTGCTGAGTCAAACCCAGCTAGTCATTCTTACAATAAACCTCTGCCTTTGCCTCCCAGATTGACAGTAGGCAAAGTCATCCCAAATGATTAAAAACATGTTAATCTGAAATCTACATTGTGTTACCTGTTTAAATGAGAGTCTGATATGGTGTTTGTGTTTGAAATAGCTGAATGTACGATAATTAGATTACTATCCCGGTAGGCGAATGTCCTATAAAACGTGTGGATTTAGAATAGATTGGGGAAAACCACTGCTGAACCTGAGCCGCCGGAGGGCTACTTACAGGACCTTTCCTCTAGAGGGAGCATGATAGTTAAGTTTGGTTTATCTCACTAGAAGGTGCTGTTGTTCTTGATTTTACAGCCACGTGAAGTGACGAGTCTTCTTTCCTATACCAAAACATGCCAAGACGTGTAGCATCTTCACATGCATTGTCTCACACATCTGCATTGTTTTTTGTGTCTACGGAAGTAAGTCCATAGTGGCTATTTTCCTTTGGGAGGACTAGATTACCTCAATAAGGACTAGATTACCTCAATTTTAGATCTTATTCTGGAGGATGAGGAACTGCCCATTACCTGAAATGAGATATATCTGTTATTCATAGTCTAGAGAGTAACCACGATACTCCCTATGTCAGTGGTATGAAGATATTTGACATGCAGATATTTGTGGTTGACAGATTTCTGTGATGTCTGTGGCATTCGTTAATGATGACAGGACAGAAGTCTGTGGCAGATAGATACCAATCGGTGTTTGAGAAGAACTTTCCATTCAGGAATATCAAAAGAATCCCTCACCTTTCCAACATACTCTTCCAGCTTAAGTCTCTTTGACTCTAGACTCCACAATTTCCAGGGATAACCGAATGCTCTCTCCGTCTACTTTCTCCCTAGATATCGTCACCCTTTTTGCACAAACTTGGACGATAACAATAACACAACTTCTAGCGTTTGTTTGTGTCCCATTTATTTTTAGAAAGAGCTCCACTCCAGTATTTTCCTTTGTTTTTTCCTTTTTATTTTTAGGGATCTTGTTTTTTATCCCTTCAGAAGGACACCCCTACTGAGTGTAACTCCTGTACTCATTTTTATAACATGTATGAAACGAGAATCATTTCTATTGCAGGTGATAGGATACGAGCTGGTCGTACTGTTTTTATCACCTTCTAATGAATATGTGCATGACTTGTTAATGTGTGTATATTGCAAAAACCTTGCGACTGGTAAAGTGTACTCTCCTACACCAGCTTCTGCATGAACACTGATTGGCATCGCATGCTTACTGCAATAAACTAGTACTATGACCGCATATGTCATGTTGTGCTCATTTACTTGTCATCATTGTAAAGAATTATTTAATTTTCTTGTTTAGGAAGTACATGATTGCTTTCAAAACAATCTCTTAATGTTATTTTCTGAAGTAGGTTTTCCAACGTATTACAGACTTGTTTGATCTGAATGAGATGGAAGCGCAAATATGTGTAGTAATTAATGTATAGCAAAGGTACAGACATTAGTTTTTATCACAGCAGAAACATCTGAACAGCCCTGGGAACTGTCTGAACATTTTTTTCAATGCATAATAGTTAGCTGGATGCATTTAAACTGGCCCCAGAACTGTTATTTGGATAACCATAAAGACTAAAGCCAAGGACAACAGGTGTTCTTAGCAAAGTGGAGGGCACCAGTGTGAGGGCGTGTGTGAGGTCTTTCCCTGCCCTTCACTAAAAAAGCCTCCAGTAATTGGTCCCAGTTCACAGTATGTCCCGCCTCTCACACCTTTTAGGTAGCATAACCCGACACCCACTCGACTAGTCCTCTTATTTATTGGGGTGCAGTCACGTGTGCTACTTTTGACCAGGATAGGAGCACTGGGCAGCAGAAGTTCTGCTCGCACCTCCACAAAGGCACCTCAGACGAGTGGAGTCTGGCCTCTTCCTCCACGGTCATACAAGTACACACTGAACGGGGGTTTCTCCTCTAACGCACGGACAGGATTGTTAGTTTACAACCTAAAGCTCAAGGGACATAACTTCTACTATAAGGGGTTAGAGGGATAAGAGTAAAAGATGGCGACTACTATTGAGACACAGGTGCAGTATAACAACACCTACATGATGACTACGGAAGAGTACATGACTCAGGAGGACAGCTGGGACAGGGACCTTCTGCTGGACCCAGCCTGGGAGAAACAGCAGAGGAAGGTAGGCCTATGTTCATGGGGATGTCCTGAAAATCACTAAAACATGATCAAGTCACAATGAGGGGGACGTGTTTTTTTGTATTTACCATTTGTATAACTTAACCATGGTAACCGTAGATTCCACCAAAATATGAGTTATCTTTTATATAATGAAAATTAATAAATCACAAAATTCTACATTGTATTTGTATCATTGTATGATTTTATAGTAGCAATAAGTGTAGTAATTTTGGTGTAAATTAAGGCCATCATATCTTTATTAGGCTCTACCTTATTATATTTTTAATTGTGGTAACCAACTTTTGCTAAAATGCTGTCAGAGCAGTAATTGTTAATGTGATATTGAAGATGCTGAAAAGTTTACTAAATTGCCTTGACATCCTGTTTGTTTTTATTAATGTATTTTGCCATTGTAAGAATAGCTGTAGTGACTGGTTGGTAGCCTACTAAACTTATTGTACAACACTACGATTACATACGATTTAAGAACATTTAACGTCGATTCGATCTGACCAGCGAGTTTACATGATACAGCTGTTGGTTTCATTTGCGGTTTTTCTCCATGTTGGCCACATCCCCGCCCTCCTCATTCAGTTTGGAGCTAATTTTATTCGGTCTTCATGTAGTATATGATATAAACCCGTGTTCATAATCGTAATAACGAACATGGACCCCGTCATTCGTTTACTTTTTAAAATGGTGTAAAATCACCTCACAGAAAAGCGCGCGAAACTTTAACGCATTCTGTGGAAACATATTTTTTAACATACCTGTACCTTCAACCGATTAAATCGTCGCTCTTTAGTATGACCCCGTCCTGTATGATGGTAGAGAAGTTAACTTAGGTAGATTATGTTTTTTGAAGATCCTCTTACTGACAGAAATGACAGGTGACGTTTAATAACCGTCAGGGGAGCTCGTGCCACTGTCTGAGGTGACGTAAGCCAAGAACCACTGATTGATCTCTGCAAAGCACAGATTTGTGGTGTCAAGCACGGATACGTTTGTTAAGACCGAAATAGACACTTTTAATTCTAAAGTTGCCTTATTTGCAGATGTTTTACTTATTATTATAGAGGGAGATTATTATTATTATTTAAATATGGTCACTACTGATGTGTATTTTTTTAGTAAGGCCATGCATTATTCATAACTGTCTTAACTATTTTATTGAAGAAATGTGTTTTGCAAGAAAAAAATACTCTCAATAAAGGTATCTCACAAACACTTGTGGGATGTTGGGTAGACCTGACAAAGCTGAAAGACTTCAACAGATGGTGTGCGAGCAAGAGAAGTGCAAGGAGGGTTCATTTCAGTCTGTGAATAAACATGCCCTAAAAATACTCCTGAACCTTGCCGCCCCATCTCCCGTATTCCTCCTCCGCTCCCTCCATTCTTAAGGCCGTCTTTTCTGAGCTCCCTTGCCTGTGCAGTTGCTCCCTCTGTATTCAACAGCTCTCAAAAACGGCACCATGTCAGTTGTCACTATTTTAATAGCCCACATTTTCAAGGTGCCCGCGGTGGTGTAGCATAGCCATCACCTCAGACCTGAAGTAGGCTAATCAATGATGACGAGCTACATGTGTCAACTTGTTTTCTGTCCCTTGACTAAAAAAGGTATTTTAAAGGGGTAGTTCAACAAGAAATGTAATTCTGTCATTTACTCACCCTCATGTCGTTCCAATCAAAACTTTCCTGTGTCTTTGGTACACAAATGAAGACCTTTTAGCTGAACCTGAGAGCTTTTCTGTCTATCCATTGACAGTTACAAAACTGAAACTTTAACACCTCAAAAAGCCTTAAAAATTTTGTTCATCACAATAAACGATAAAGTCTCTCCAGAAAGTTTAGAATAAACCATTTAATTCATATGGATTAGTTTTACGATCTCTTTATGAACTTTTTGAAGCATCAGTAGTGGTAGTTGTGTAGCTGTCAATGGTGTGACTGAAATCTCTCTGTTTTTTTGATTTCATCAAAAAAGATAAATTTGTGTCCGAAGATGAACGAAAGTCGGCTTGGAACGACAGTGTCCATGATGTCACAATTTTCATTTTTGGGTGAACTACCCCTTTAAGAGTCACTTTTTGCCATTCAGTCAAGATAGTATATTTCTCTTGGAGAAAATAACATACCCACTAGCGCCCCCTGGATTATGTGAATGTTTTTAGTCTTATAGAAATAGCCTATATTTAAATGTTTTAAAAAAGATTACAGTAAGGTTATAAAAAAAGATATAAGCTTTAAACTTGATGATATGTGAAGAAAAGCTTCAGATCAGCCTATTTGATGGGTTTCAGACTTGAGTCCACGAGGGTCTTTAAAACATCCTCAGGCATGTAGGATCAGCATAAGGAGCTGATATCACAGCGTAAATATAGAAAGTGCATCATTTTGCAATGAAACGAATATGGGGGTCGCGTGGGGGTGGGGGTTCTGCACCTGTTCTAGCGCACATATCAGAAGCCCCAGTAATACAGCGATTGTCAACATGCTGTTTCATCTGATATCTGTCAAAAGGCAGCAGAAAATATACAAATTGTTTCAAGCGTCGTTCTGCTGATGACTAGTAAATTCTGTATTTAAATGCATGCGCTCACAATCTGTCTTTAAATAGCTGACATCACACTGCCCGGTATCCTAACGGCAGCTCTAAGTAACTAGCATCCATCCATCAGTGAAAGAATCCGAGAGAAGCGTCTTAGTGCTGCCATCTAGAGGGAAATACAGTTATATAAAAGTCGAATGTTTTTTTGTTTTGTTTTTTACAACATTTAAATGAAATCTAAGTTTTAAGACGTTCTAAAACTAAATCTAAGTTTGTTGTTGCTAGCTATAGCTAGCTATTGCTAATGTGGCTAACCTATCAACTTCACTGTTGTTTAGCCACATTAGCATGTCCTTGCTAAATACAACTGGGATTTTATTTTATTATGGTTTTAAATATTGTCTTTTAGCTATCTGATGTTTTTGCAACTCATAGAACTGGGTGTGTTTCTGTTTTTTTATGCTTAGAACATGAAAATGTGGTATATTTGCTAATGTTTTGTCGGTAAATGCTAAGCAGTATTTGAGTGTTGTGGTGATCATTTGTTTTTTCATTTCTTCTAAGTCTCTTGAAAACTGTTAGTGGGTTAAATTTGCAACGACTCTCGTATTTTCAGAGCATTTCTGGTTTAATCTCTTTAGGAAAAACTACATTTTTAAAACTAGGTTTTTAAAACTACATTCCAATGTGAGTAGCCCTCAAAAAAAATCTCTGCAAAAGAAAAATAATATAAACGTTGTCAGTGACTGTTTATTGTTATATAAATAAATCTATTTACACATTCTTCCTTGTGTTCATTTAGTGGAAAATACAACTTACTATATATATATTCTAGGCTATATACTATGACCTTCAAATGATCTTTGATGCATCAAGATGTAAACAATACCTACACATCCCCATTGCCCAAGTGAATTATAAATAGGCTATCCTTCACAAAAGTCTAGTCAAGAACACTGGTCAGAACACACTGTTGTATTCATGTGGGAGAACTGGAGAAGTCACTGCTGATCAAATTTAAGTTGACGTGAGTTATTGGTGGTGTGAAGGCGCTTCTTTCTGCCAGTCATTTTTGAGGGCCGCTTCTACTTCTGTAGCTGAGTAGAGTTACAATGTTTCCGTTGCTTCTGATCTCATCGTCAAGGATTAGATATCATAAGGACACGGCAGTCGTTCTCCATGCTCAAATTCATTGGCACATTTTGAGTTTCGTATCAGATTTAGACTATGGTCACATTTGCATAAAAAAATCATATATCACCATGGCTTAGGCTACTATACTAATATTATTATTTATGACATGATATTTAACTTTTACCTAATATATTATACATAAATTGCTGCCTTAAACATCCAAATTGATTGTACTTAAAAATTTAAGTAATTTCAACTGATTTATGTAACTTATTTAAAAAGTTGAAAATTGCTTAACTTATTTTGATGAGTTACATCAATGTTAAAACATATGTCGTCATAGCTTATTGTTTATATATTTTTTTACAGTGTATCTTTTTGACTTTTTAATTTTTTAAGCCATTTCTGAGAAAAGGTGCCTTCTTTTTTTAGAGGACGACTGACCTACATATTTAAGAAGGTCTTATATTCTCAGTATTGTGAGGTTTTGTGCAGTGTTTTATAGAGCTGTGTTATGTAACAACCTCTCATACATCTGGATTTATTTACAATGACGAGGCAAACATAATGCATGCAATCATTGTTATTTCTGATATGGTTAATCAGTTTTCATTTACCAAACACAGTTATGTTTTTATTCATCTTTATTATTAAATTATTAAATATATTTTAAATATGGCTGGGAAATAACAATCACACAAATAATTGTTTAACCCATGCTCTTAATTTGGTAACATGGTGTATTTAACAAGTTCACCATTTGTCGAAAATGTGAATGATTCTGACTTGATTTTTCAGCAAGTTTCAAGTCCTATTGTGTATTAGTCATTTATTATTTGTGTATTATTCTTCCTGAGAGAAAGTGTTTGGGAGAGCGAGGGAGAGATTGTGTGGTCAGATCAGATGGCAGTTCTATTCCAGAAGCGGTGGCCATGTAGGGCAGCAACTATAAACTACCAGAGGAGCACACAGGCCTCACGACGGCTTTGTGTGTGTGTGTGCAAGTGTTTGTAAATGTGTGTTTATAGGTTTGTGTATATGCAGTTATGTATAAACATTTGCTTCACTTACATAAATGGCACTTTATGTTTTTAGACACTTTCATGCGGATCACAGTGGTGTTTAAAGTAGCGTTGGAGAACAATGAAGAGTCAGTGTAAATCAGTCCCAGTGTTTCCATCTTATACCATTACGTGATATGGTCCCTCTACAGTGCTTTTTGTATGTGTGATGTGATGGGTGATATTTTAAGAATAAGCGGTAATGTGGTTTCTGGTGTCTACTAGGAGCTGTGTGTGTGTGTGTGTGTGTGTGTCCAT